CAATTCAAATAATAATGAATTTATTCATTCCAATCAGTTATTACCATTGAAGCGATCAGTCGTCTTTGTTGCTTCTCTTTATCCATCTCAGGTGATAGTTCTTACGAATAACCCTGAAATTATTATGATATCGCTTCATTAGGTTGAATAATGAATGCCCGTTATCATAAATGCTCTGCATAGCCGAATACCAATCCAGTAACCAATCGTAACAACGATAAACTTTATTATAATTCATTTTATTGGGCAACACGGAAGAGTATTCTAACACCTCTGTACTTGCCAAATCAATGATCGAAGTTAGAATTTTACGAAGACGGATGATTATTGTTAGTTGTGCGGAAATACGCATGTCAAGGCTGGAAGGATGTGGTATTTGTGGTACTGTCAGTAACTGAGAGGCAGGCACTCGTAATGAGTTGTAATTGCTGATTAAATAAATAAATAAACCCTAATATTCAAAATCACCTATCCACTCATCTCACATCAACTACTTTCCCTTCATACTATCCATAATAATGATCACATCATCACAACCCAATCAAATTTTATTCAAGCATCTCCAACTACCAAATAAAGAGTCAATTAACCAATCAATAAAAATGATCAAAGTGATCAAATAAACTGATCAAACGAAGTAAATGCATGACTACGGATCGATGGATTACATGAATGCATGACTACGGATCGATGTATTATAGAACAATATCGCTCAATGGTGAGCGAATACTGCGTTTAAAGGGCAGTAATCGTTTTATGTAATGATGTATCGCCGTAATGGTTCAAATGCAGCAATCGAAAAGTGGTGCGATTGAAATGACACAATGCGATTTCAAGCCGAGTGGGCGATAATGCGGAATAAAAAATAATGTTCCGTTATAAAACAATTACAACCCTTAGCACCTATATTAAACTTCATCTCTTTAGATTCGTATCGAACTTGAGTCGGCATGATTCCGGCATATAAGTTGTTTGGTGCGTTCNAATTTCTGTTAAAACACCACAAGCAACTGCATGATCAAGAGTGAGCTCTCATTGAATGAGGGTGAGTAAACGAAAGGCGTTAACAAGTTTACATGAAAGGTATCATAACGAAAACAGAATTAATATGAAAGTTTTGTGAGGGCAGAAAGGATCGACGATTTGGATTGCACATTAGATGGATCAGTGGAACGGAAGGAGCACTATTGATGTTTATATGAGTGAATAATTATTGATGTTTATATGAGTGAATATCATTATAAAAGCAGTTTCATTATTGAAACTAAATGAATATTTATGTAACCATGGTGACTGCTAGGCGACAAAAAAAAATAATTCCAGCTAATAGAGCGTTCTTGGATATGCTTATTACATCGATTGATGCTCTTCGTTCTGTGAATGCTCATCGAATCAATTTCGCTCCATTTTAAAAATTTGATTTGCACTTGAGTTTGTAATATGAATGAATTAAAACTTATTTCGGAACAATAGAATATGTGGTATTCTTGCTTGCGATATTCGATCATTATTGCTATTTTCAAATCTTTACGGTTGATAAAAACTTCTTCTGCATGAAACAAAATACTTTCATCTCATACTTCCTCAAATCACTCCACGCTTTCAAAAACTGCCTCATTTAGCACCGTCAAACGCTGATTTGTATGCCTATTTCATACGCATTTTCACACATTTGGCAGTTATTGAAGATCTCAGACAAGACCGACTTTGACTGAATTGAGCCATTGATGTATACCACCATTCTTATTCAGTGCTTTTCAGAACATCGACTTATTGTCATCGCTTTCATGATGACAAATAAAGAATATATTTTTCTACTGTCATTGTCGGTTCATCCACTGCATCTTATGCCTCATACATGAATGATCATTTCATCAGTTTCTAAACTGAATTTATTTTATTCACCTCAAAACTGAAAGCACTTCATTCAAACTCATACACTATACTGAATATTCATTCAAAATCATTCTCGAACCATTTCAGTGCGACGAAATGAATCGACGAATAAAATAAATAAGTGAATAAATGACATGCTCGAGTCAATATCTCAACTCGACCCACTCTCTAAACGTGTACCACGCAATACCAATAATGTGCTCCCTCCTTCCATCCACTCGCAATTACTATTCAAAACAACCACAATCCATTGCAATTATCCGTAATTTTCACATCATTAAAATACGTTATTTCTGTCCACGATAACGCCTTCACTCAACCATCAACAAACCTCGAATATATGAAAAACACCACAAATTCATAAGATTTCTTCACATTCACTGCACGGTCATATCCGTCCCCACCACCTGCATTGTGTACACCAAAACCCAATAAATCAAATAAAATCATTTATTTCGATAATCCAATACTTCTCAACCACAACAAAACCATTCACCCTCGTCATTAAAACTCACATTACCACTTTCACAACCATTCTATCACCATTAAAAAAA